CGTTAAAAGTTAGTGTCTTTGGTGCCTGTTTGTTTTCCAAATATATTAATGTGTGTGAATGACAGGAATTAACTCAAAACACTTTGTAGAACGGTGCTTTATGAAGTTCAGTCCGTTTCCTTGTTAGTTGACTTGCAGATCTGCCACATTCAATATGGCGGACGCTCCGACCACCAGTCCGCTCAAAGAGGCGTCTACAGCCAAACCCATCTGTTCTCTGATTGGATCCTTAATGTGTGATTGACATGACATTGACCAATCAGCTGAGAGGAGGAAAATCCAGGACAAAATTTGTACACCTAGTTTTTGGATTTGTATCTGTAAACAGAACATCGTAAAAAAGTTGTGTAACTTGCGATTGTTGTTGTTTTTTGTTTTTTTTACAAATACAAATCTTTTCTACAAGGTTAGAAATGTTTTTTACACGTGCAAAATATTTATGACTGGAATTTGAGCCCATAATACTGTGCATCCAGTGATTACTTTCTGAAAGTTTTATTAAAATCTGGTGGTTTGTGAGATGTTTTGCTAAAACAGAGACATTTACATTACTGCTTGCCTTTTAGCGGCAGATGATCTAAAACCCACACTTATTAGGTTCACCCCTCAGAATAAAACAGTTTCTGTTCACGTTGATGCATAAACACGACGTTCTGTTTAATTGTCGTGTCAGGAAGCCCGAGGCCGTCTGCTCTCCGCTCAGTCTTCTGTGCAACAGCTACGAAAGCAGCTCTCAGAGTCCGACTTGTCTAAAAAAGACACAGAACGACGAAACCAGACGCTGCAGCAGGAAAAGGAGGCAGCTCAGCGAGAGCAGGAGGCGGCTAGGAAGGAGAAGGAGCGTCTGAAGCAGGAGAGGGACATGTTGGTCAGGTTGGTGATCTCAGCCTGCTCCTCATCGCTGCGTCCTGTTTTGTTTTGAATCCTGACGCGGCGGTTTGTCCGTGCAGTGAGAAGACGAACTTGGAGAAGTCGGTTCAGGCGGCTGAGAGCAGCAGGCAGATCCTGCAGATGGAGCGCGAGAAGCTTCAGCTGGCCGTGGCGTCCGCACAGCGAGAGCGGGACCGCGAAAGGGAGGAGAAGGAGGCCGCCGTTCAGGAGAGGGAGCGAGTGAAGGCCGAGGCTCAGAGGATGTAAGACGTCTAATTCTGCTGATTGAACCAATGTGGTGTTGACATTAATCCACACAGTTCAGAGCAGTCAGCACGTCCGGCACTCACAAGAAGAAACTGAAGGCTCACCCAACATTTACATACGCCTGCTGATGTTTAGATGATGTGGGTTTTCTTACCCAATTAATAAAATATCAAATAATTTAAACGGTTTTATGTAACATTAAAACTTCACTCAACCCAAAAACTTTAAAATTAGCAGGTGAACTAACTTTTTTAGCAGGTATGAAAAAGCTGTGTCCGAGTTTTAATTTATATGCTGTACATTTACAGTACTGTGCAAAAGTCTTGAGTTTTCTTTCATTTCTTCTTATTTCGCTTCATATCTTTAAAGAAGATCTTGATCAACAACTTTTTGACACTTTCCAAATGTCTTTATTCACATATATATATATTTTTTTAATGTTGGCTGCTTTTTGCTCGTTTTCTGGAACATTTTCTGTTAAATGATTCTCTCTGAGCTGTGAATCATTCAGAAATATAAAAGGCTCCAAAACTCAAAAGATGAATCTTTGTTGTGTTGATATAAAACAACTACTTTAAGTTAGATCTTTATTGACTAACTAAAGTACTGACTAGCTAGATAGTAAGTTTGTAACCACCTAGCTAATAAATTTGATACAGTTCATCTACTGTAGATATTGACGGTAGTTTGGTTTTCTTTTCTCGTGCTATGTTCAGGTACCAACACTGGACATTAAAAAAAAACATCCAAAGTTCAAAGAATCCTGAAAAATGTCAGATCCAGATCACTCCCAACTATTTTCACAAACCACTTGCACTCTATATATTTAGCTCCTGGTCTGTTTCATGTTGTTTGTTGATTCCTTACAGTCAGAAGCAGCGGGATCAGAGCGAGAGCCGAGCGTCGGCTCAGCGTGGAGAGTTGTCTGCAGTGAGGGAGACTCATCAGCAGGGGGAGGTTGAGAGGCAGCTGCTGGAGCAGGAGAAGACCCAGCTGTCCGCATGGCTGGCTCGAGTGAGAAGAAAAACCTGCTTGTTTTGATCTTCTGGGTTCTCGTGCTGTCTGCTTCCTTTATCTGATCCTAACTTTCCCTTCAGGCTGAAAGCAGCAACAAAGAGCTGTCTCTGCAGCTCAGCAGGCTGCAGTCGGAGGAGGCAGCTCTCAGGGACTCCCTGTCAAAGATGGGCAGCATGAACGAGGCCCTGGCTCAGGACAAAGCTGCCCTCAACACCTACATCCTCCAGGTGATCTGGTCTGACTGCTGAGCATCAAAAACCCTTCTGCTCAGGATAAACTTGGATCTTGTCCACCATATTTTTCGGCCTATAAGTCAAAATTTTTTGCATAATTTACATGCCCTGCGACTTATACACCAAAGCGACGTATTTGTTTTTTGCCCATATTTAAAAACCAGTTTTTGGCTGCGATATGACCGTTTTCATTCATTCTGACAGAAAATATTGAACACTGCCATTTTCAGCCACTAGATGGCAGTCTAGCAGTATGGCATGCCGTTGTATCCTGTAATAGGTAAAAGTTGCTATTAATGACACAATCGGCTTGCCACAGCCTGCCACTGTTGTCTGCCTGGAGCAACCATCAAATCAGCTTCTTTTCGCTGCACCGCCCCGGTGAAATGCAGCTGATTTGACCATTGAAGTGCATTTATTAAGTAAAAGTTCAGCTGAGACGCACCTTTGTTATAATGTCGAGCTAACATATAATTGTTTTTAGGTGCTTGTTAAAGAAATGGACAGCGAGTCACCCTCTGTGCGTTCATGTTTCCACATATCGGCTTATGAAAATGCAGCTGATTTAATCGTCAAAGTGCATTTATTAGGCAAAAGTTAGACTGAGACACCTTTGCAATAATTTTGAGCAAACTAATAATTGTTTTTAAGTGTTAATATTGTTAAATTCTTGTTAAAGTCCTCCTGTTCACGCTCCCGCGGCCGCCATTTGGCAGCCAATCGATTTTTGGCACAAAACCGGCCCACATTTCCAAGTTGTCAGTGGTGACGCGTAACAAACGCGACGCGTCAGCGGTGATGCATAATAGATGCGACGTATACGGCGAAGCGCTGTATTTATGGATTTTTCCACTTTATTAGCCATATTTGGACTGATGCGACTTATAGGGCGGTGCAACGTTTACGGCGGAAAATACGGTAATAGTGTCCTTTTGCTGTTTTGTCTCTTTATCACACTACAGTTGCACAACTTTGCAGAATTGCTGTGGACTTATTGACCTTTAACTTTAATCAGACAACAAAAAACAAAAAATTGAAAACAAAGAGAACAAGAACCTTCTTTTAGAAACTAATTGGCGAAGGTAGAGTCCTGATCTTTCTGCCCTCTGTCTCGAAGCTCGAGGAGGAGAAGTCTCTCCTGCAGGCTCAGAAACGCGAGGTGGAGCAGGAGAAGCTGACCATCAGGGACGAACTAGTCCGGTTGGAGCAGGACCGGCTGGAGCTGGACTCTGCTCGCATCGTGCTGCAGCAGTCGCTGCAGGAGGCTGAGCTGAGCCGAGAAGGGCTGGAAGCAGAGCTGCAGGGTCTCAGAGCTGAGAGGCTGAAGCTGCAGGAGAGAGTCACTCAGGTACACAGGTTATCCAGTGTCTGCTGCTGTCTGGACACATTTTTACTTTAAAAGTCCAAAAACATTTATCTTTTTTTTAATAGAAGTAGTGTTTAAATGGTGACAGATGTGTCTGTCTGGTTTTCGTCCTCAGCTTTGTGGTGAGGTGACTTCTCTGAACTCAGAGTTAAGTTTGGCTCGAGGAGAGGTTCAGAGGAGCGAGGCGGCCCTGGAGGAGGCCAGCCGCAGTCGGGCAGAACTGTCCAGAGACAAAGCGGCGCTGCTGGTTCAGCTGGCGGCGTCTGAGAGAGAAAACGCAGCGTTGTCGGAGGAGGTGGCTGCTTTCAGGTGTGTGTGGGATAAAACTCTTGGTTCATGAATGAGCCAATTTCAGTTTTTATTTATCCCAACAGAAACTGGTTGTTTGATTCTGGTTAGGCCTGTCACAATAACAAGTTTTGCAGGGCGATTAATTGTCTCAGAAATTATTGCGATAAACGATAATATTGTTTGAAATTTGACAATAATTAGTCATTTTTATTATTATTATAATTATTGTCAAATTTAAGAAGAAATGTTGGTTATTTTGTTTTGCATGTTGTACCTTTTTTCGACCACCTGATGGCTGTACGGTTTGAACCGAAGGATGGATAGTGAGGGAGTGAACAGCGTGTCTCTTTAAGATAAATGGTAGGGATGTCACTTCCTGTTTTTCAGTTCTCAAAATGGTGGACGCTTGGTGTGGTTTGAGCTCTTTAGCATAGCATTTTTCACACAAAGCTTTTAATAAAAAAATCAGTAGACAAGTTCTCAGCTTCTTTTTGCAGAGAAAAACAACTTTTTACACAAAGGCACGGGTTTTAACCGTGAATTTTGGAGCTTTGACGAGAGGGAGGTTTTTTACCCTGAGGTCGGCCTGTTAGCTTAGCTCGTAGCTTAGCTGCTTTTAACGATCCAAAAACGTGATTTTGGACGGTTAAAACAGATTTTAAAGAGAAAGGGGGGGTCAGTGAAGAACACCGGAGTTGAGCCTTTTGTCATCCAGTGTCTTCAGTAGAAAGAGAGAGACACGAATAAACGATAAAGCCGATAATTGAAAATGAGGTTGATAATTTTCATTTGTCATGTGATTAATTGATTTATTGTTTATCGTGGCAGGTCTAATTCTGGTCACTTTTTAAGGGACGTTACATTGAAATTTTCCTTATCTGACCTACATTCTTTAATTTAAAAGGATAAAAGTAACTTTATTCAACTTTTTTTCTGTTTTTCTTATGATTTTTGTCAACAAAAAAACAATCATTATGTAAATTACTATGTGCAGCATTCAAGGTTAATTTTATACATATAAAAAAAGTGTTATTATGATACTGTATAAATGTATCAGTTGTAATTTTGAGGCTGGCAAACAAACTTTAGGTGCTTTTCTGCCACCTATCAGGCTTCAGTGTGCAGCGGCTTTACTGGTGTGCCAGAAAGTGAGGAACTGAGAAAAGAGTTAATTTTTTGACACATTTTTTTTTCTAAATAATTATTTCTAATTAGTAATGAACACATTAAAGTCTCAGCCCTACTTTAAACAACTTATATAAATTTCTCAGGTTATAGCTGAGCTGCAGCCTCTTCTCTGTCAGATGCCCAGCAGAAATTTTTTTATTTGAAATGCAATAACTGACCTGTAATTGACCTGATGTTTGTCAATCTTAAACCTGTGAGAATGAGAAACAAACACTGAAATAACTGATTAATAAAGATGCACTCATTTTTTTCTGTCTGGAAACAAAATAAAACCCTTCAGGTCCGAGCGGGAGTCCCTGGAAACGAGTGTTTTTGACGTGCAGCAGCAGCTCGCTCAGGTGGAGTCCCGCAGGGAGCAGCTGGAGATGGAGAACCAAAACCTTCGAGTCCGCTGTGAGACCGCTGCAGGTGAGCTGCGAGCAGGAACCGTGTGAAAGCAGAAGGCTTTCGAACAGAACGTAAACAATTTGCACTTTTCCAGAGTGAAAACTCAAAGGTTGAACGTGTTTTGTTTCCCTGGATGGGTTTACAGCTGAGCTGAAGAGAGTTCGCTCAGATGGTGAGACCGCAGCAGCTCAGGCTGACAGAGACAAACAGGCCTTGATTCAGATTCTGAACGCTGCACAGCTGGAGGCCCAGCAGGCTCTACAGAAGGCCATCTCCGAGCACCAGGAGGAGATGGAGCGACTGCTGTCAGAGAAGGTGCTTCCTACAACACCACTTATAGATCTGCTTTTCTTTTAAAGTGCGTTTTGTTGAAGCTGTTGTGTTTTATTTCTCCGCTCTGCTGCACAGGAAGTTGTACGCCACAGCTTGGAGATGGAGCAGGAAGCGGCTTTGAGGAAGTTCAGGCAGGAGATGGAGGATCAGTTCCACAGAGCCAAGAGGGAAAAAGAGGAGCTGGAGGAGGAGCTGAGGACTCTGCAGCACAATCGAGACCAGTGTTTGCTGCAGGCTGAGGCAGAGAAACAGCAGGTCCGGTCTACATCCGAGTGTTCAGATCCTGATCGTAACTGATCTCTTAGTGTTAAGGGTTTTTTCCCTCTTTGTAGGCTCTTTCACTGAAAGAGGTAGAGAAGGCGGTTTTGTCTGACAGAGTGTCCGGTCTGCAGACTGAGCTGTCAGCTGTGACACTGGAGGCCGAGCGGACGGCTAGAGAAGCTGCTCATTACAAAGAGCAGGAACAGGTGACTGAGAGGCAGAAAACTGAGTTTAATTTCTTATTCAAACTTGTTTTAATTGTAGTGTTTGGAGCTCAGAGCTAAAGGAAGATGAGCTACACTTCGTTCTTCTTTTTGTCTTGTTTCAGGTCAGAGTCGGAGCTTTGACCAGCGAGCTGTCGGAGCTTCGTTCTCAGCTGGACCATGCAGCTTCCGCTCAACACAGGGAACTCCAGAGTTTACAGGAAACTTGCTCCGATCTCCGATCACGTGCTGAAGTTGCTCTCAAAGAGGCAAATGATTCAGTAGACATCATTAAATCTCAGTGTCATTTTCAGTTTATACACTCTGGAGGCAGATTTTTGCAATATTCAAAACATGTTTTTGTAACCGCATGTTGAAAATTCTCGTTTCTGCATAAACATGACCAAAAATATTCTCTGAATTTTACTCAAAGTCCTAAATGTAAATAATTTGGGACCTAATTGAACAGATGGCACATAAATGACACTCACCGGCCGCTTTATTAGATCTACCAGGCTGGACCCTGTTTTGGCTTCAGAACCACTTTAATTATTTGTGGCTTAGATTCACATTACCATACTTTTCGCTGTATAAGTCACATTTTTTTGGATAAATTAGCATGCCTGCGACTTATACAGCGAAGCGACATAATTATGTTGTTTTTCCCATATTTATAACCCAATTATTGGCTGAGATCTGATGATTTTATTCGTTCTGACATGGAAAATAATGAACACTACCATTTTCAGTATGGATGCACAATATTATCAGCATGGTATTGTTAGTGGCCGATATTAGCGATAAAGTTATGATAAATATTGGACATCAGCCATACCATCAAAATAATTCATCGATATAAAAGGTGCTGATTTTATATATGTGTGTATCCATGTATATATGTATATATATATATA